GTACGCTCATAACGACTACCTCGTTTTGATTCAATTACAAATTACACTTCATGTTATCATAAACTTGATCAGCTTACAAGTTTCAAGAAAAATCAGTTATTTTGAGGGTTTCATCCCCGTCAACTACTGAACCATTTTTTTGCTATTGCAAAGAAATATCTTCTTTACTCTCACTTAGAGTAAGATGATTTTACAAGCTGTTTCTGCTTGATACGTAGATTGACATGAACTTCTGAACTAAATAACCTCTTAGGTTTTACAAAGAAGCAGCTGGCAGCTTTTTGGCAGAAAAAATCATCATTTGGTCATAAAGTTATTAATAAATTAGGCTCAACAAACTTTTGATAACTCAGAGAGTGTCGCTGAACGTATATCAAAGGGTTGATGAAAAAATGTATGATACTTCCGTAGTAGCACTTATTTTTACGTCTAATCTAGAATCTTGCACAATAAAGCATATGTGAAATAACCTGATAATGTTGGGCGGACGTATGTACTTCTGTTTCCCCATTTACGTTTGCTGACAACAATAGCGACAAGCAGTAAGATTAGATCCTTCACATCTCTACGTTCTGCGCTTTATTTTTCTGTCGTCTCGCTATAAAGGACATCGCGATTTAAATGTCTCCCATGATCTATCGTTCGTGTAACTCTTTCATTGTTTCAATGTTTAACTCTATCGCCTGGAAGAAACGCGTTCGCTCGGTACTATTCCTGTGGGGCTGGAAAACGTTTTTTACCGCCTGGAAGAGGGGTAGAGTCAAGTAAGGGGGTAATGGACGATGATCGCCGGTAGCTGACGCCTGCTTCAGCAGCAACGACCGCCACAATAACAGCAACAGCTAATAGTTAATAAGAGCAGTAAACAAAGCGGACTGCGCATCTACAAGGATACAGGCAGATCCGCATATTATGAACCTTTTAAGCATAGAATATTTTTTTACAGAGTGTACACACTCACAGGCTCGCAAAGCTTGCCTACTCGTTTACTTACTATTTTAGCGATTATTATGGCCAATACATAGGCTGCAGGCCAGCTGCTGTTCTATCGATGTTAACATAATGATCATTATTGCTATTCACTCTATCTTCTTCTGCTTCGAAAAACAACGACCAACAGCCATGAACTGAGCTATAGTATCTGTAGCGACGGCAACGTTTAAGCCGTTGCAGGTGCCATTGTTAACGATGGTTTTGCTATTGGAAAAAACTCACTGAACGCATTCTAAATCTAACGGAACTGGCAGTCCGTTCGAGTAAACAAAAGATGACAGGCACTTTTTTTTTTACTGCGTCCATCTATCGATAGCCAAATATAACGATAGGCGGACCACGGCGGATTACTGTAATTCATATTTAAAATAAGCCAGGTCTCCCTGGATCCAGTACCCAGTGATTTTCTCTTTGAAAACGACACATATGCTGGTCGCTACTAACGGTGCTGCTACTGCTGCTGCCTGATGAGCATTGCTTGCAGTAGCTTCTTTACGGCAGTGACTTCTCTGCCGTGCGGTTCGACCGTTGGGCCCTTTCTGGATTACTGCACGCCAATATAAGAAGTAGCCTGCGGTCTGCTGGTGGGTTGATACGATGGCGTTCGCTAAGGCTGAACTACAACTCAATGGGGTCCGAACCCCAGGCAAAGCATGGGGTCGACAAAAGTGGAGATACATTACCCTGCAACGAGAACGAATGAATGTGTCCGCCAATCTGTGCATATATATATATATATATATATATATATATATATATATATATCTATATGTATATTTTTTTCATATAAAAAATATTATGTATATATTTTTCTTCTATTTTATATGTCTTCGTTTATTGCGGGATAGTATTATTCAACGTTCACCCAAATTAACTGGAACACGTGTCTGAAGTGGCCCAGACAGAAATGATCATCTAAGTGAGTTAAACTGATTTGACCCGCGGATTTTCAAAAGTGCCGAAATCAATACCAACCCATATTCGGTTTTTCGTTAACGTATCTTTGATAAAATATGTGTTGTTTCTAATCTCGATCATTTCTGGTTAGTGTATTCAGACGATGTTAAGGATGCGCATTACTTCGCGTCCATCATACAAAAACATACATCAAAAAAAAAGATACAAACACGGTCATAAATTGCGTTATTTTTGAAGATATTCTGTTTGAGATGGCAAATCGTTTCCACCTGTGCTTTATACAATGACTAATTATTCATTCTCCATAAAAATACATTTGGTACAATTATGTCAATTATGATTAAGTTGATAAACGTTAGAGTGTCGAACGTTCTTTTGCTCGCGACGACTAATAGACATGCTTCTAAATATATTTTTTCTGCTTAGGGTTGTAGAATGCAGAAAATATGTATCAACGGTCGGATTGGTGGGGTTCAAGAGGTTCAAATAAGGCTTATGGGTTAAGGTAGTTTTTGATTACATCTTAGACTCAGTTTTCTGCCATACGTTAAATAGCTATTCAATATGATTTGCGTGTTCCTAGCTCTGAACTTGATAAATAAACGTAAAATGTGATATATTTCACTTTTATATGTATCTGCTTTGTGCGTGCTTTTTGAAATTAACCGAATAGGTAGCGATGAGGCTTGACCACGATATCCCGTCATGCCGCCTTCAAGTCTGCTTGAATAGATGAGGTAAAAAAACATCCATGCAGGCAGCTAAAGCCAAAAAAAAGGACCAAACAGAGGCCTAATAACGTGCAAAGCATATTGGATAAATAAAGATTACCTACGGCGGCAAACGTGGCAAACCTTAGTGAGTTCTTAGTGGCAGATGCCGGAATTAAATTATTCTCTCTCTGCGGTGTACTAATTTGTCTAGAAACCAAGATGTCCTGATTCCAGGTGCTTGTTTTTCCTAGTAGGTTGTCAAATAATAATTTACGGCAAATTTAACGGCTTCTTCGAAATAGAATAGTATTGCTAGTTATTTTGTGGCAGGTGTATTGCATTTTCCCCGTGTCTCTACGTGAGGTCAGCTGAATCAACAGAACGCGATTGACAACAGTGCTATTAAAGTAGATATCAGCAATGTGTGGGCTTTTTCTAAATGCGACCTCATTGGGCCATTGACTCGAGCGCAGTGTGCACACCCAGATACATGAGACACAAGTCATTTGGTGAAAATATAAAGATTCATGATCTTGGTGACAATTTATAGTATAGCGGCTTGACGAGGTTCCACTGAGCAATTTCATTGTCAGGATAATCCATGAAAGCAATTGATGCTATGTAGGTATATAAATGTGCGCGTGTCAAGCGTGTCCGATTTCAGGAAACTCGCAGTAGCAAATTCGGTTTAATACAGAAGAAATGATGACATATATTTAAGGTACCCCAAACAAAGTTTACAATTACCTTTCTTTTTTTTATGCGTTGTCATTGCTCTCAAGTTTATTTTTTCCTTTGTTCTGACATTACGCTGCGATAAGGTACATGCCTAGATATCATTATAAATATCGCATATGTCGGGTGTGCTTCAATGCAGGCCTAGAAGTTTTGTCAATTTTCTGAGAATCTGCTTATTAACGCCGCTTCATAGTTGAGATAATATGTTAGCGGCTGGCTTTTTTTTTTTGTTACAGCTTTAAAAGCAAAAGGACTTGATCTAGAGAAACTCGAAAGGCAGCTCCATTAGGCTTATTCAGATAGTACGATTATAGAGTGCTGAATGTAAATTTCTGCCTCAAGCTTTCCTGCTGCCTCTTTGCATGTAGGGAAAAACAGTGTCGCAGCGGCAAAGCTTGAATTTCCATAATTGTCTTTATAAATTTACCTAAAACAACATTACCAGATTATGTCGCACCCCAAACAGGTTCCTCAGAATGTTTCAGTGTCGTTTTGGTTAGTAATAGTATATTTTTTCCCAAAGCCGTTATCCTATGCTGACAGATAATACTGCTCAAACGAGCGCGGTGTTTGCGATAGTTCTGTCGTTTCGTTCTTCTCAATCAGCCCCCAGCAGACCCACACTGAAATCTATTTCAGCAATAATGTTCTAGTGCCATATTGTTAACACGAACGTGGACGTTATCTAATTCAGTTCACAGAAACTCGAGCTTAAACATTAATATTCTTTTTATTATTATATAGGCACTTAACGCTTAAGGCGGTAATAACGGCTTATACGGCCCGAAGAAAATCTAACACATGGCTATAAATTGCAAAGAACGTTGGGCTTTTTCAATAATTCCACGCCTGACTATACCTCTGTTCGACTCAGTCGCCGAACGTTTACGTAGCTTAAACGGCGAGCGATATGTATGCATCATTATCGGGTAAACGTCTTACGGGTAAAAACTAGTGGATACACAAATAAGTTAAGTTAGCTGCAAAGAACTTCTTTGTTAATGTAAGTGTTGTATTGATGGTGTGAAATTTTATAGTCTAACGATTGACAGTGAGAACTATTTTCGTCAATTTCAGTCAATCCGGTATTGAGGACCGTGAGGATTCAAATCACACTTTGGCAACGTTTTAGACAACGATACACATTTTGTGAAATATGCTGCGACTGTATGTATGCATATAAGTACGTGTACGTAAGTATATGTATATGTGGCATGTTTGTCTTTTGTCACGATTCATCCGTCATTCCGTCGATGCTTGAAATTTTTACGTGGCATGAATTTACGAAGCTGATTCACGCGCGCAAACTGTCCCGTGCCGCTTCTGCATGTCGCTGCCTCGTTTGCCCATGTGTATCATTGTGGACAACAGTTTGTTTAGTAACTGAAAGTAATGGCATATATCCAATTCTCCTCTGGGTATCCACGTCAGCTCCAAGCCCTTCGTGCTATTCATTAATGCCGGTGAATCGCAATCCTCCTGGCGGGAATTGGTGCGCGGACTGCGTTTGCTGTCTCCTTTCCCAGACACTTTCCATTTCTCTCTTATCGGCGCGCAAATAGCGGTTCAGCATGCGACGTCTTCCCAAGAAGGTTTAAATCGCTTGACAAGACCCGCTGCGCCAGAATCGCCCGACGGAGCAAAGCAGCGTCAGCTCGGCGCTAGGAATAGCGAGATCAAAGCAAGTAAAAGGTGGACTGACTACACAACAACAGTACGAATCGGATCAACCATTACCAAAACACAGTCGCCATGCGGCTCCTTATGGTGAGCGCCATAGAACCCCTGCTTGCTTACGTGCTACCTAAACCTTCTCGAAAATCACAAATTATATTTCAATAACGTGCATCACTCGTCGATCCTTGTTTATCGTGTGCATCTGGCTATTGGTTATTTCTACTGCTACTGCTAAACGTCCAAAAGTGTCTTATAAGTGCGCCTACCTGCCCGGTCTATTTCTACCATATCGCTACTCTGGATTACTCCGTCATCACAACGCTGAGGTTACGTTTACGGTGCTATGCAGGCGAATCGGTGTGCTATTGACGTGTACTCTACTAGCGGCCACGATATGCCGGTCTTGCTTACGTACTTCGTTGGTCCCATCTCCGGAACGAATAGTTGTCACGCTGAGCTTGACGTTCAAGTGAAACAATCTTGGCTTGGCCAGATTTTGATTTAAGTTGGTGCCTTCGTTCTACTCCACAGCATAAAAGCTTTCTTTAAGAGCCATATGATGTACACTCAAGTACGGAGGTCACGCAGTGTATGACTGTACACTTGATTCCGCCATTAGCGAGGCTATTATAAGGAGCACAGCCTGCCTGAGGGCCTGCTTTCCGTCTTGCTGCGTCCATTGGATCAGTACACTGGGTGCCTCTGAGTTAAGTGCATTTTCTTTAAGTAGCTGGATTTTCACCCTACCAGTTTCGATGGAAATGCATTGCCTGGATTCATGCGTAGTGTTTGGCTTTAATCGAATTTTGCCAAAGCGATGTAGAATATCGACAAGGTACTCTTTGTGGGTGATCCTGTGGGGCCCCCCCCCCCCCCACGTACGTAATCCCAATTATATGCAATCAGCATTCAAAAGATCGCTCGGGCGGTATGGAACTTGTTTTGAATACAAAACTGACGGCGTCAATTCTACGAGTGCGCGCTTTTACCTTTAACTTATGAAAGTTTTGAATTTTACGTACTGTATTTCCGTTAAGTCTTGCTTCAAATGACAAGTTTGATTTAAGTGCATGCGGTAATTGCTAAACTTTACCTTTGATCTCCTCTCGTCCACTAACTACCCTGTATTCGTTTGGCGTTTGCTAGAGATTGGTTTTCATATTTCAGTAAGAAACCAGTCTTGATCTTCTCAGCCTGAATTGCTGCTTGAATCGTGTTTACTGTACGACAGATATAATTATAACTGCATTAGATAATTTCGTATCATCAAGTATAAACTGTCTGGGTTAGCAAGTGTCCTCGACATAGTTCAGATCAGTTTAGTACGTGTCGAAAACCCAAATTGACGACGAAAAGTCATTTTTCATACGAGTTCGACGATTATCTCGCGTCTGTTAAATCGCCCTAGTAATACAGCACGTCATCTAGGCGACGCAGAGGAAAGCGAAGCTATAGGTTTGAATAAACCAATTTCTGATGCGTTATCTGCGCGATTCTCGTTTTGGCGTTTGGCATCCAAGCGCTATGGCGTAGGCAAGCGTGTCAAATCGGCACTTGCCCCGATTCCGATCGTCTGCCCAGTTCACGACAGAATCTAGTTTTTTTTTTTTTTTTTCTCAAATTTGCAGTAAAGTAGCGAAGTTCGTGTTGTTTCAACAACAGATTTCTTTATCGTTCCTTTATCTATTTACAAAAGCAGATACTTAAGTATGTCATATTACTTAACAAAATTATAGCCAACGCAATTGAATAGGGGGGCAACAAGACAGATCACACCTATCCACCTACCTACTTACTAACGCCTTTGTCATAACATTATTGCGTGATTACGGCAGGATAATCAGCACTTTTTTGTACGGCACTCTCCGACTAAGCCTCTTTATGAGAACAAGTTGTCGGATTCAATCTGTTGTGATAAACATGAAGAACTAGCTCTATTCGGGTGGGTAGTCGGAGCGCGTCGTACGTGGGTCACCTGCGACAGATCAGTGAGACGATCGGCTATTAACCAATTCCAGTGCTATTGTGCATCGATAATTGTTGATATTCAACACGTATTTATATATGTTGCCAACATTGAACAAGCGTAGCTAAATGCCCTCTGCGCTTCCGACGGGAACGGACCTATAGAGATACGTTCTCAGAATGATCCAACCAGGTATAGTTTTTTGCACACGTGTCAAAATATTACCACTAATCGTGCCCAACTCAGCTTCAATAGCTTCTACGTTGAGCGACATTCAGTGTTGCGGCATTTATTTATAGTTGCAGCATTGAATCTTAGAAAAATTTTATTTTCTAGGTCAGTAGTAATAATAATTACTAACGGCATTAGAGCATTTTGATTTGGGGCATACGTTGATACTATCAGAAGTACGTTTTTACAAATTATAGTCTTTACTACATTACGCATTAAATAGTTGATGCTTTAGCCTTCTTAAGTGAGCGCACGGCTTCTGAAGTTTGAGAAAAAAAGAGCTTCACTCTCAGAATACGCGTAGATTTAAGTCTTAAATAAACCTTTCAGTAATTTTCTCCAAGATTCTACTCAATTTCAAGTAGTATAAAGGTTTGGCAGAGTTTGAAAGCGCGATAGCAGCACATGTGTAGTTGAGCACGGTTCACGTTCTTAGTAACGAAACAAAAGTTAATTCCGTAACTTAAAGGTCCACAATGCACCTAATCGAAGGTTCGTACAATTCTAAATTTAGAAACAAATCATTAGCGTATTGTGACTGGTATCTCATTGACTCGATTACGACCTACGCACGATTTTCTCTGACGCTAAATTGTACAGTCAACAATGGAATGCATCTATATATTGAAATCATAGTTAAGCTCAGATACAGTCGTTCAAAAACGCACCCCGTAATTCTATGAAAGAAATATCTGTGATCTTTTCCAAATTTCAATTACTATATATGTAGCTAGAGTAATAAGTAATTTTCATAACAGCGCTAAATGAGTGGCAAGCTGTCTAAATTCAATGGCCAACAATGTTCTAGCGCTTCTAGGTATCTTCTTCGTTCGTTCCTTCCTTCCTTCTCCTGTATTCTCGTTGATCCAGTGCAGGGTCAGGGAGGGCGGAGACAGTGTAGTACCAATAAAACAGATCATTTGTCAATAAGTAAAGTGGCCTTATTAAGCGTTGAGCATTTTTTTTCTCACACTCAGAGTCGTTAACGCGTATCAGCTGCTTGAAAGCATTGTCAAGATTTAACTTTTATTGCGACTACCTCAAAGTTAAATTGGTTGTATTTTCTAGCCATTGACTTTCCGTTACTTTTGACAACGGCATATTCACCTTGATCTTTATACGTATTTTTATAGGACATTTTGCAGCTTTCGTAACAAGGCGAGCATTACGTATCATAGTCAAGCGTCGCTGCGTCAACTTACTGCCGTTCCATGTTCCTCATTGTAAGAGTTAGTTGTTTTTGATAATCTTTAGAACAATTGATGGAAGTGCTCGATCATCTCTACGAGAAAGCACACTGGTGTACTTGTCATCATATGGCTGTTCTTTTTTAGGCCGCTAGCTTATTCCAGATCTTGCAATTGTGAACGTTATCAGCGTATCTATCTGCTGCTCTATCGGTTACTGCTGATTGAGGTCTGTATGGGTACGTGTGTTTGTCCATGTCAATACCTGTTGGTATTCGCCGCTGGGTCTCTATGACCGTCTTGCTGCTCAAGCCAAGCTGTCGTGCTATCAGGAAAACATCGTTGTTCGCAGGTTTGCCTGTTACCTGATTGTGTCCTGTTACTGCTCCTGCTGTCGTGCGAACAGTCGCGGCTTCTTGGTTAAAGTGGTCTTCGTCGACGGTGGCGGAGCCCGATTCCTTTTGGATGGACATCACGGCTGATGATAATGTTCATGAAGATGCAGATGTTGACGATTCCGATGCGGCTGCTGTTCAAGCTTCGGCTGTTGCGTCTGCTGTCTGCACTTCCTGCTACAGATCCGCTGGTGTTACTGCTGCCGCTACTGGCGATTTCTTTAACCGCGACCACGCGGATGCGGCACCCACTGCAGCGCAATGACATGAGGGGGCTCGCCGGCTCTGGTCTTTGTCATAGGATAGACGGAGTCAGTCATTTCCACTGGCCGGGCAAAAAGTTGAGTTGAAGAGTCTACGAAATTCTTTCGAGAACTGTCGAGACGGCGTTAACGACGACGGTGACCGTAAAAATTCATGCATATTAATCAACTGAGTTAAAAACGCATGACCCGTCATTGACTTTACTTAGAATACAGCTGCCTTGAAAGGAAAAAAATGAGGTTACTTTCTTCTGTTGACATACGCGTGTGCGACCAGACGTCACGTTGCGTCAAAGTGTTGTTGCTTACCGTCTGTGTCTTCTTCTTTGGATAGCACGTACTGGACTATTTAGGATATAGCATTGTTTGGACGCTTTTGTGCAAATGGCAAAATATACGTGGTGGCTGTTTTCGGCTTCTTTTTTGTTCGGTGTTTAGTCGCTCGTTCCTTTCTTTGCAACTGTTACCCTTAACTTCGTCAAACATTTTCAGCTACTGACGTAGTATATAGCATTAGCCATAACAATTGGTCAGGGAGACAGCTCATCGAATGCGAGCACCCACGTGATGTCAATTGTTTCTGCTGCTGTTATTAGAAATTCTTCTTCTTGAACATCTATAGTAGTCCTTGTCATGTTCACCATCTCCCGTGAAGCAAGCATTTATTTGACCGATGGGGGTGTCTTCGTGCGTCTCGTTCGCGTTACGACAGCGCTGTCGTCCCTATCGCTAACGCCGTTCTTGCTTCTGCATAGGTTACTGTTGCTGCTACTTCTGCACTTCTGTTACACTTCGTTCGCACGACCGTTGGTGAACCAAAGAAGTAGTGTAGTTGCCCCGCCACTTTCGCGTTACACTGCTGGCTATAATAGTAACATAATTATGGTACTATATAGACCAGATGTGCTGTGGGGCATTGAACAGATGGCGCGAATAGCGCGGGCGGGCATCATTGAATTCATTTGTTTCACTTGTCCAAACTAACCTATCGCGCCAGCGGGAGCAGCGGGAAAGGCAGTAATAAAATCACTGTACCCGTTTTAGCGTATACGCTTGCAGCATCAAGTTCGTAAGTGTTTGCAAGCGCAACGGTGTTGAGAAACGTGAAAAGCAGTGCTCTCCCGTCCCGCTCCATTCATCTACCCAGTCACCCCAGCTTTTTGTACTGTTACACGCGATCGAACCGAAGAGGTCTATAGCTTTACAGGTCTGAGCTTGTCCCTCGTCCATCATACGTGTGTCAACCTTTTTCCCCACAGGCATGATAGTAGCGGCGGCATCGACAGTGGCATCGAAATAAAGACCATCGTCTTTATGTTCTTTGTGTCTCTGCGTGCTGCAGATGCCACTATTGTTGTTGCTGCTGCTGCCGTGGCTGTAGCTGTTGTTTCTACTACACATACACACGAAATCCGCTTGCTTCCTCCCTAATGTCGGGCAAAGGGAGCTTTAGGCCTTTAGTTTATGACGGCCATGGCAGTCGCGATCGTGACGATCCGGCTACCCCGTTCGATGTTCGCGGTTCACCACTTTCTATCTCAACAAAGACGACGACATCAACGATGGTGATGATAATCGCTGCTGCTGGTACACGATTAGTTGCTCCCTGTAATATTGCTACTGGTGCTTTTTCCGCTGCCGTCGCCTAACCCACGCTTCGTCTTTGTAGCTTGGTCCCACGTTTTGCTTGACGGCACACTTATTCCTCGATGGGGTTTCAGAACAGCAACTTTTTTCATGGCGTCTGTGATCATCGTGGCACCCTGGGGGGCAAGCAGGCGTGCACCGCGCCGCCTCATCACGCAACGCCGCCATCATCTTGAGTATCTTGACCGACCGCCCCACTGTCTCCTTCCTTCAAACGGCTCCGCTCCCAGCGGAATCGATCCTTCGTTGATTTCGGTGGCTGGCCTGATAATGAGCAGCAGCAAAGAGCCAAGGTTTCAATCGGCAGACGAGCTACTGGAGCGGCCGTAATGGTCGGGATGTTACACTATAACCACTGTCGTTCTCGCAGCTTCCGTTTCCATTTCCGTCGAAATGACATTGGATTTCGTTTCCCAGCTGGTGAAGTCGGTGGCATCATCGGTGTTGTCGGTCATGCGTTTCGTGCTGCTGTTAGTGGCTGGCGTTATTGTTGATGTCCATTATTAGGCATTTCTAGCACGCTGAATGTTCTCAGTGAACCAACAAAGATATAGGGGTGATCTGCATGATTCGTACGAATCCCGGATAGATAGATTTGCTGTTCTGGCTTTCGGATAGCAACAGCGACAAAAGCGGTACAGCGTGCACCAAAGCTATCAGCAGCAAGACGAAGGGGAAGCGGCAGTGTGTATATATAGGAGTAAAGGAAAGGTGCGACGAAAGGAAAGGCACGTTCTTGATTGCTCCAGCATCGACATTTGTTCAACGGCCGTTGCTGGTGATATGGGTCAGAACCGATGGGACAAAATGTTAGATGTTCTGTCGTGTATATAAATGTATGATATGACCATGATGATGGCATGGAATCAAGAACGATGTCCGCGCCAGAGGAGCGGTACAGACAAACAGAATATATATATATATATATATATATATATAGATTAGCCACGTTGCCGATTCCCTTTAAGTACAGACGGACTGACAGACGAACAGACGCAGCCATATGCCTATATAATACATGAACAGGCCAACATAAACGGAAACCCGAACATGAGACAGTGCAAGCAAGACTGCTACTGGACGATTTGGGTGAGCGAGTGGTTAGCGGTCGGAAAATTACGGCGATTCCATCGCTGCTGTCGTAGCTGATCGACAAGCTTCTCTTCGGGCGCGGCCTATTGCTCTTATCAATCTGTCTTCAAGGAGATTTGACCAGTTCGGACTTGTTGGTCGCTTGGTGCGTTTCTGTGGATCCGACGGCGCGACACAGTTTGAAAAAGCAGCGGAAGCAGGGTGTTGCCCCTAACGACAACGCCACCTACGGCTGACAACGTGCACGGCAGCGGACATGGTCCATTGCCGGGTTCGTTGCCACGCGGAGCCACAGCAGTAGGGAGGAGACGGGAGCAGGAAGCGCGCAGAAAGGGACGGAGACGGAAGGCTAACGGTCATGCTGCGACCGCCGCAAGCGCACACACGTGCTTAATTGGGTTGCTTGCTTGGCTGGATGATGAAACAGCACCCGTTAAAATGGCAAGTGACCGACGCGAGTGACGTACAGAGGGGATTGACAGAATTGATGGCCGACCGTGCGGCATCGCGGTACAGGGTCAAATACCTTTTCTAGGTGGTAGGTATGGCACCACAACTCGATTGCTTACAATAGTGGCTGGCTCCGTTTACGCCCACTGTACGCAACCGTTTCGTCTTGTCGTCGAGTACCTGCCGCGGCTGCATTTTTCGTTCGCTTTACGCTGCTTCGCTCGTTGCTCGGCAGCATTAGCTGGCCGATTGACTGAATAGCAACTGACTTGGTGGTTTATTCGTTACGGTGCAGTGCGCAGTTCGATCTACTATTGCCGCTGACGCTATGTAGGTCGTCTTCTAATTGGAGCGCCGATTCAAGTAAAATACCCGGACAGGAGTCGGAAAGCCGAAGTCCATCCGTCGTTTGACTATCCGGCTTACTGGCTTCCCGCTTATGCTTTGGATTTCCCCCAGTTTTGACTTGTTGCCCGTTACGACTTTCGCGTTGGTTTTTCCGCTTACCTTACGGCGAAATTACATCGTATCCCATCGTATGTATGTTAGTATTGATGCCGCTGCTATGTACTGGGGAATGAATTCGGTGTACTGCAAAAAGCAGATTTGTATGGCGCTATTCTTGTAGTAAGATCGATTGAGAGGCGCAGGAATAAAGTGAAGGTCGTCCGATGGTGGTTCGTTGTTGCCTCAAGCTTGGCCTGAGTGGGCAGTCTCGGCAGAACCAGGGCCTGTCTGTCTATGGACTAGCCAGTTTACTACTGTTGTTTCAGCTGCAGCTACTAGCATTATCTCGGCTACTGCCGTTACCATGATTATCACAACTGCTACTAGTACTGCGGCCACCATCAACTGAGCCGTGTGCATGCTGCTACCACACTCGTTGTTTCTGCGCCTCGACATGATGCGACGACGAGCCTGACCTGTTGTGAGTTATCGGTCGGATTCATCGTTGCTACGACAGTTCGATGATATGGCTCCGCTGACGTGTCACAATTCAGTAGGCGTTCTAGTCGTCTCAAGCTGGCTGCGCTGACTTTTTGGTGTCAAGCTGTCTACCAGCACGTCGCGTACAAATGTGACTGCTTTGACCGTTCAGGTATTCGTCAATGGCCTGATGCATGATTGTGCCCCAAAGATGCAGCGTCGTCCAGAGTCTTCTTCTATTCTGGGGCCAAAAGAGAAGACATCCCAGTTGAGATAGGATACTCGTTCAAATCGCACGTTCGATATCAAAAGCAGTCGCATTTTTCGATGCATATATGAGTTGAGAGGCGATACAGGTTTACTTTACGCTTTTGCTCTCCTGGTGCTAGAGGAGAGTATAGTTCATCTAATCCAATAATGGTAGCCAAATAATAATATTACACTGGTCGCTTTTCGTTTGCTTGCAAGGCAGAGACCTGTGGACTAACACAAAAATGTCGAGACGAGGAAAGCGCAAATCTAATTTCTGAGAATAATCAATTTTTCCTCTACCTGCCAAAAAGATCTCTTGTTACTCTAGTTCGTAAATGTAGGCCAGTCTGTCGTCTGCGCCGTCTTACGCTACTAGCAAGCCCTCGTCTCAATATGCACAGTGCGTACGATTATAGTCCCCAACTGGCGCAAACACAGTGGTTGTCAGACATTGATTCTACCTCATCTATGACCTACCACAGTCGAATTTCACACCAGAGAAAACCGCCGAGTGCCAACTGGCAGGCCAAAGGCCAATTCTTATGTCACCGGTTTATTAAGCGAAAACTTGCGCCCGAGAAATGTACCGATGCAATCGCTGCCTGTTTAAGGATCAGGAGTTGTCCCTTGTTTGAAGCTTAACTGCCATTGCCCTACCAACTAACTAAAGCAGCCTAAATAAGAACTGTTTGCGACACGTGATGACAAAGGAAGTTCGTTTCTTCATTTAGTATTGACATCTGACGATAAAGTGGATTTTCTCCAATTCAGATAATTTTAAAAATGAGTGACAAACTGTTGCGAGAAAAGTAAAATCAGATAGAAAGCTAACAGTTCTGGGGGCACTTTGTAGGAGGCGAAAGGAGGAACAGGTAAAAATGAACTTGAATAACGTACAATGACGGATGCATTAGTTTAGTCCCATAAGTAAGAGTCAGATCTAGAGGTATAACATTCCGAGAAGAGTATTATTGTTTTCAATTGTAATCCCAAGAGTTTATATTCAAATTAAGTTGGTCGCTCCAGTGTTCCGTTATCTATTGTACCAATCAACATTTCCTGTATGATATCCGTCGAGCGAACACAGCCTTATTTATTTTGTTTGTTTCTCGATTGCAGGTCATTTCGACAGCTGTGCTGCTGCACCACGGTCGGGCGCAGAACTTCTACCTGAGCGAGAGTGGCCCACCAGGGTATCCTGGTCCTGGGAATGCCCCTTACAACTCACACTTCGGCGGACCTGCGCCGACAACCAAACCGTCCCGGCCATCTTTTTTCCGAAATCCGCTTGCCGCCGCTAGCAATTTGCACAAGACTGTGATTGCTGGTATACGTGCACCTGCCTTCCTTAGCAACCTGTTGCCCTCAGCCAGTGCGCCACGTCCTAGCATTTTCTCGTTTGCTAAGCCTCCGCGTGGATTTTCTGGCGCTAATTCTCACCCTGGACCTTCGGCGCCCGTACCTTCGTTCGCGTCCTCTTACGCACCAGATGCCGCTGCGAACAGTAACTTCAATAGCTTTTTCGGCCGACCTGGAAGTTCATCGCCGGGTGGATCCCCAGGATCTTCATCATTCTTCGCCCCTTCGAGCCCCGGACCCTCGCCTTCACCGTACGCTGGCCTACCTTCTAATGTTATTTCGGCTTTGCAGAACAGTCAGTTTGACCCGTCTACGTTAGCAGGCGACCAACAGGAGGCTGCCACCAATGTCCACGAGATCAGCGGCTCACCTTACGATCGTTCCCCTCCCCGAATTCGGCCGGGTTTTAGTTCAGCAACAGATGATTCCGACATCTCAGCCAGCGCTGTTGTACCATCTTTGGCTGGGACAGGTTCCGGAACGTTCGATCCTTCATCCTATGCACCCCAAGGTGTCTCCGGTTTAAGCAGTCTCCAGGGCTCGTCTGGAGCTGCCGCTGCGGTTGCGCAGACCCTCCTGTCTCAACAGGCCTCCGTCGGCTCATCGGCTGCCCCGTCGAGCATTGCTGGCTACGATATTGGAGTTCCAGTTCAACTAGGTTTCCAAAGTCACACCGCTGACCAGACCTCATCTGCAGGTCAACAGGTCAGCAGCATTGGCCCAGCATACCAAATCGACACCTCATCCCTTCAATACCCGTCGTCCTACCAGCAGCCGGTAAGTCAAGGCCAGACAGGCCAAAACGCCTACTCAGGGCTAGCAACCGGATACGGTGCAGTTGACACCACCAAACAGCAAAGTAGCTATGGTCAGGGTCAATCGTTCGTCGTTGGATCGTCCCTTTCTTACGACGGTAAAAGCGGACCCACTTCTTATGCTAACTCGGCCAAGCCAGCTGACTACAGCGCTCAAGGTGGCTACACTGGTTATTCTACTAGCGGACAAGCCGGTAGCAACGAAGCCTTGGTTCAAGCGCTAAAGGCATACGCTAATGGCAATGTTAAGTACGTCCCTGGTAAACCAGCCGTACCTATTAATCATCAACTACAGCAATCTGCTGGCCATTCAGCTTCGACAAGCTATTCGACCTCTTCGTCGAGCTCGTCTAGCTTATATGCTCCACCAATCTCGGCGAAGAGTAGTAAGTACTCTTCGTCTTCTAGCTCGACTTCGTATTCGCCGCCTGTTAAATCAGCGGTATCATATTCAAATCCTGTGAAGTCGAGCTCAATTCGTTACTCGTCCAACAGCGGCGGCCTCTCGTATGCTGAGAGTGCTCCTCAGGCGAAATACCCTCAAAAATCTCATTTCGAGTCTACAAGAACAGTTGGATCGTCACTGAAGTTTGGTGACAATTCATCAGCTGTTTCATCTTCATCATCGGCATCGTCTTCTTCAGCAGCGGCAGCGGCTGCCAAAAAGAAGTCGAGCTAGACAGCGACCCAGCTTGTCTAGACAGATTCTAAGTTTCTACCCTCGAGAATTTTTATGTTTAATTAACCTAACTACAGTTACATTCAATACATCTGATCTACCATTAAGGTTTCTTTACCAAACAAACTGCTACTCTAGCAAAGCGTTACTTGCATTCAATTGACATCTTTACGATTTCCTAGAAAGTTTTAGTTTTGGAAAGAGAACACTTACTTGGCGGCTATGCTCATTCTTTGTTTGCTTCCGTTTTCGCATTCAAGTAACTAATTTAACTTTTGCTAATAGTTCTCGTTTAAGTTTCCTTGCTATGCTATGCTATGCCTCTGCTCTATTTTCTTTTTCAAAGAATTCCTGAGAATTCATCTGGATGTTTAAACTTCTGCTGGCTTCTCTACAATCACATCTACATAATTGGAGTTTCATATCCAGTTTTCATTCATTCGCTACGCCAAGCTTCTTAGATGCTCCTATTCGTGGTTCAGTTATCCCAACAACAAGCTCACATTAAAACATGTGCTTCATGTATTTCAACGGTAGTCGTAATACGAAAACGAACTAGTTTTATTCTTTACTATACGCGCGTTCTCATGATTTATTTCTATCCCTTAAGTGAATTGCAGTCGTGAGCCATCGTGAATCTGCCTTTTCTTTCGATTTGTTATATGAACTCGTTTTTGAAATCCCTAGATAATAGGCAAACCCTCTTTGACCTTCATACTATTTAATCTTCCACTTCTTTCCTTTTAGCTAGACGGCTTTATCACGTGCGGCCGCCAAACGTGCCGTGCCTAACGCTGGCGTTCGCCTAAGCGATTTTTCTCTTGAGTGTACAGTTGTTGCCGATAGTCTCGTGTGATGACAGCGCCGTCCGCCGCTCCCCGTTGAATTTTTTTCTTGCGACACCATTTTTGCCATCGCCAAGCACAAACGACAAGCTGTTTTCGTGGTCATTCGCGGTGTTTCGTCGTTTTAACGTTACATCGCCTTGCTTCCTTCCCTTTCTCTGTTTTTCGTTACTTTAATTAAATGGCGTCCAGACGCTTTAGGTGCATCGCCTGTAAGGGACGGTGTCTCGCCCATTGCTTCAAACGGCTGCCTCATATTTACCTTGGAATCGTCAAGCACTGCTCTATTTTTTCGTTTTAGACTTTATCGTCCTTCACCACTGTATGGAGCTCGAGCTCTCCTAAACCTTGTTCCATTCAGCGATCATACAGCGACTACTATAACTTACCTGAGTGTACCCTTCTCGCCAACTCCTCTATCCCTTGGTTTCTATTCCCTGACCGGTCTGTCTTTTCTAGCCCAATTATTGCCTTACAGTCGACGCTGAATGTGTGGCGCCGCTCGGCGGTCGGCCAGTTCAAATTCGTCGTCTTCCTTCTCCTGAATCTAACCAACCGCTATTCTCTCACGTTCACGTCTGGCGAATTCAGGCAATCTCGGATTGCTCTGGTCGCTGACCATTGCCAGCGGACGAGAACCCGCTCAACCGATGGCGGCCGGTATCGGGCTGTCCGCTCTAGCTATATGTATTGTAAATAATTTATTATTACCTCGAAAATGATAATCATAAAGCACGTGAAAGCAAAAGCAATGCGGACAAACAGGTGAACGATGATGGTTCGGTTGTACGTGGAAACACCGATCGATATGTAATGGTATCATCGCGCTCGACAAACAGTAATTAGAGTGATAATAATGGTAAGAGGAAAAGAATTATGACAGCGCTGACAATCAGAATCCTACTACTGATGTTCTAGCAGATATTGATAAGGACAAGTTGGATGAGAAAAAAAAAAACCAAGACGAAGCAAAATGACGAACAGAAACAGAAGAGATAATATTGTTGTTAATTACGAAATGGGTCGATGGAGAGGATCTTCATCCCACGGTAATCTTCGTCGAATTATCATGTCGATGTGTTAATTAATAATTATGGTTGTGAATAGTACCAGTATGTCATGTGGTCACGTAGTTATTTAATTTTCACCGGCGTTCCACGCGGGCGGTCGGACGCGGGTCGCGACATCGTCCGAATAAAGTCGCTCGTCTATCTGATGAAGCTGACCACGCATAGGCGCTCTCAAGCGTCCGATCCTATAGCCGACTGTCTAGCCTCAGTGGAACGCCTTGCTCATCCTTTTGATATTTATCTTTTTTGTATTAATATTGAGAATAATAATAATAATAATAATAATAATAAAAGGTGCCGCTACCATTGATGAAAGTTCTTTTCTCACAGGAGGTGGACGAGTTCATTATATTTCAGTTAATTTAGAAAAACAAAGAAGCGAACTACAAAAACATTTTATTTATGTACATATATTTCCTTTTCCCTACCTCTGCCTCTTACGTCGTCCTTATGATTCGATAATTATGTCAAGTAGATCAATAAAATGATCGAGTGAACGTACATGCATGATAGCGTTATAAATGTGTCTCATATACATGAAATTGGTATTCTACTCTGCTTTGGCAAAAAAAAAACTAAAGGCCGTAATTATTGTTTCGAAACGACTGGATTTGAAAGGCCTTTCTGCATTGATTTTACCCTAAGTTTCCGCTTTGTCGTCGTGGGGGCGAATCGCACACATTTTATTTATTTATTTATTATATATGATGTATGAGCAAACAATATTACTACTACTCCTCTTGTCAAAAAGGGTCAAGATTTGAGAATGCGTCAGCAGAGCAAATCAGGCAAAGGTACAAACTAAGTGCAATCCTGTACTATTCCGAAGGAAATTGGCTTACCTCATAATCTACTTGCGTTTTCACAACGATCAGAGGCTACGTTGAAACGAATTGTACACTGACGCCAAATGGAACATAATCCTACTGAAAAAAAAAAAAGATAGCCGAACGATAACTTTTGCAAGATACTTTTGATACTAAGTTAAGCTATCCGACAGTACTTAATATTGTAGTTCTGAAATACATTCTTTATATAGCGATTTGCACCGTAGCATAGAGCCCAATATTAGATAGCGGTAAACAACAACTGGTGTAACAGATATATACGTTCGTACAAGGATTCTTACATAAATTAGAGGTGAGCCATTCATGCATATAAAACAGGGCCAGAATAGGGCGTACAACTGCTCGACTCGCGCCCGTCTATTGCATTTTGCTTCGTTACCCGATCTCGTAGATTTCTTATGCCGAATTGACCTCGTTTGTTGTTATAAGCCTTGTACTTATCTGTCGACGACTCCTTGAGCTCGAACTCGAAACGAACAACGGGAGCAGCTCAAGGAATATGGTTGAAAAACAGCTCCTTGTTAGTAGTTGGCGTCGTTTCTATCAGATATAGAGAAAAGATTACTACTCATTAGAGGAGGAAAAAAAGCCTCATCAAGTGATGGATAAGAGACTTAATGTTAGACACACACACACACACACACACACATTGACGTAAAATCGATTCATACACGCTTACGCTTAAACGCATAATTTATTCAGAAAGTCTAGTCGGGTACCATAAACCTATTGCCCTTTATAACAGTCTAAAAACTCTTAGCGCTTTTTGAGATCGACGCTAAACGTTCTAATAAAAATATAAAAATAACAGCCACTTATCTCTTGAATGTGGTTTGCCATTAGTTGGGTATATTAAAAAATATGGAGCTTGTACGATCCTTTTCACATCCTTAAGGCGTTAACGGTGTGATGATACGAAAACGAGAGTCGCGCTTCTGTTTGTCAGTTAAAGCATTGAAAATGAAACCGTTTATTGATTTCATTAGATTTAATGTAAAAATATGTTGAAGATTATCAGGATAACAGATCTCACAGAAAGAATATTATTAGAAATCACCAAAGAAGAGACGATTTTTTGACATTATAGATGTATCAAAGGGGCGACGCCGAAAACTAGAGAATTTAAAGGATTCTAGCTGAGCGTTTCTCACAATGATATAGGATAACAACTGCTTCCGGTGTACGTGCGACAGAGTTGTCGATCGCTTTCCGACGAATTAATAACCAAACGCAAAAACATAGATATGGCAGGTGCAGTCTTACATCACCAGACAGAATAGCCATTACTTTATTCAGAACTTTCATCGACTACCTTAAATTAATGGTTAAATTGAACAAAGGACTTTGTCCTATAGGGACAATCTGCCGACGTAACACACACGCGCGAGGGAATATCTTCGAAAAAAAAAGTCTTTCCGATAATAGAGCGTTTAAAGGATTATTTTTAGTGGCTTTCTTAGTACAGTACAACCGCAGTAGCTCTGGCTTGGCGTGATTGAGGGGGGGATTATACTTCTGTATCACGACAAAGTTTCTCACGGCGTTCAAGATTTCTAAACGTGCCTGCTACGTGGGGTCGCAGGGATGTGAGCACTGGGGTCGGAAGAACTTAGAAAAACTTCTATATACCAGTTAACAGATACCGCCTGCATGCTAAACACAGCTCTCTACGATATTTGAATCGAACAAGATTCATGTTGTGTTTTTATAATTGTAAAACTCACGGATTTACGGTTGTATACACTTGAAAAAAGACGATGTATGTAAGTAGACAAATATATGTAATCAAATTCACCTTTATTGTACCAAAGGAGACAGATTATTAAAACAACAATGCTAAATACTCCCAATGTGCAGTTACGGAACAAATGACATTATTTTGAGTTATGAAGACATGTCGCTCAGCTTCAGCCATCTCTAAGGCAGTTGTCATCGTTTCAGTGCGGAGAGTGCTGTCATATATGACGTTTCTGGATTATTGTAACCTATTAGGTAACTGATAAAAATAGGCTTGTTCTATTTATCTATAAGAACAAACAGATTCTACATTCGTTCGGTACATCGATATGGTACTTCATATCGGGGCGCCGAACTTCATAAGAATATAGAACCTGGGAACAACGAGACTTCAATTTAAATTGTGATTTGTTTACTACAAAATAATATCAGTGGTAATTGACACTAATCTAATTATATGGTTAATGTGACGATGAAAATCAGGCTTCGGCTTAACTGCAACTTTATCCTGGATCCTGGAATCAACTGGATCCTTCATCGAGCTCACTAGAGAAATTTGAAATACTACAATAATTTGAAATGTATTTGTTCGACCATTTGGGAGAGCATATAGCCGTACGCCTCTGAACAGGAGACGCTCATATCATTAGTGCAAAGCCACGCAGACACAACATCGATTGTTCGTTAAGGTAAAAGGCACTTACCAGTAGAGGCATTGGATAGCTTTAAATCATAGAGTTAGTCCCTAGGCCTGATTCGAAGAGGACGCTCTGTATATAGAATGATAACGCTAAAAGGAAGAAGCCCAAAAGAATCCACCCCGGAAGACCATCAATTTTATTATAAAAAGTTCAGTTTGTCAGATAGCGTCCTCTATAGTTTACAAAGCAAAAACCTTATAACCTAACCCAGTTTGTGATTTAATGTGCTTCACAATTAATAACCTAGGCCAGTTGGAAAGTCAACGCGGAGCGCATTCTGGTGCTTGCTGATCAATCTTTGATCATTGAAACATGCTGTACTGTCATATCTTTCATGCCTTTTTGTAAATTCATGTTTGTCGCGATCAAGATGCTGTCTCGATAAGAAGTAAGTTAAAATATGGTCGGTCAACTAGGATTTTTTTCTTCAACTAAGTAGGCTCTCGAATTAGTGGGCGGTAATTATCCACTGTAGACCTCATATCCTTTTTACAGTACGGCGTGAAGAATTACTTCCAACTTCAGAATTAAAGATTCACACTTTGGATCAAAAACTGATCAGATTTAGGTTCTGAAAAGTATATTCTCTCTCTATAACGCTCAATTCTTTCATAGAATAGGAATAATGATAAATTTTCATAATAATATTACGCTTTATTCCTAAATCAAGGGTGTAGAATATACCACAAATCAGTAGAGAGCCTTATCATTCGCTAATTAGCGAGAATATTGTTGGTCTCTACATGGCTTATCTCTTGCTCAATTGTTTCACCACTATGGGCATTGGTTTGAACCACGTCAAAGGAGCGCTCTGCTCTGTCTATATATATATATATATATATATATTTTGCCATAGTTTGGTTCATTAAAATATATCGCCATATTTTACGTCGTGGGTTCTGGTGTTAGAACAGTAGATAACTGTTTGTACGAACTTTTCGACACATTTAGGATAATGATTTTATCCCTTGCCTCGTACACACATACAATTAACCGTATATCTTTCATATTTTTAGATATAAAATAGAAAAGTAACGGAAAGAGGAACTAAAGTGCGCGTTTTTTTGCCTTCTGGCAAATTGCTATTCTTCTGTAAGATCTGTAAATAATGCTAGCCGCGATCACGCCATACAATCCGAGATCGATGCAGTTACTCGTTCGTTTAAATACAGACACAACAAGGACCGAATATCTATAGCAAGTATTGGAATTCCTTGGGGTACGTCTTTTCAAAATAACAAAAAAAGTGAACGCTTATAGTGGAGAAAGAAACAAGTCCTTGGCTGTTAAAATTGTTTGCGCATAATTTATTTTTTGGTTAGGCATAGCTTGCTTCCATTAGAAACTTTAAGTAGAAGCCTGTGTTTTATGGCTCTAGACGCCCGTCTTCTAATAGATCATGGTAATTAACATTCTAACAGAACTAATGGAGTCTAGTCAGTTTTATACCATACTAGCCATGCATCTACCTATTCGAACTGGATATTTAGCTTTCTCCCATAAACACAAAACATCAACGAAACATCGGCCAGTGATTTCGTATGAGTGCGGCACCAATCAAAAGTGTGCAGATGTACTGTATCATTAATATACTTTTAAATTTCTGATCATGTATATAATACAATGAGAAATCAAAAT